ACCCCACAAATGTCTGGATGTATTTCGGCACACAGAAGTGTGTTTGTGTGAACATGTGTTCCTTATATTTGCATCACACAGCCCCTGAACACACTTCTGGCTGTCTCCGCAGGGAAGGCGCCTTTGTTTCCCCATTATATAGCCTTGTGCGTGCGGGTGTCTGGTCTGCAGGCAGGCTGCAGTTATTCTGCCACATCAGCTGAGAGCCATTTTCACAGCTCCTGTTGCTGAGAGCTCGTAAAGCCTCCAGCAGACCCAGCACCACACACACAAACACTCACAATTGTCCCTATTTCTCACTGCAGGCCAGGGTACTGAGCAGACGCTATATAAGAGCTCAAAAATCCTATTTCACACACATTCATGCTATACACCCTTTATCTAATATACACATACACGCACTTGTTTACTTAGTTATCTAAAAGAGGAGAAAACATCGTTATATAAATATTTGTGTTTTTTTTACAATGACTAACCAAAAATCAACCCTAAAACTCTTAAAATGATTACTTTCTAATCATCAAAGATTCCTGATATATATAGTAATATTTTATAATATTACTGAGATTTTGATCAAATAAATGCATGCCTTGTTGAGCATAAGTGACTTCTTTCAAAAACATTGTGTGTGAGTGTGTATAAATACACATTTATTTAACATCTGGGAACAATTGCTCCCTCAAAACATAGATAAGTAAACCCATAAGCCCACACAAGCACATACTCATACACTACACTAACTTTCAGCAGCACACCAGCATTTAAACTCTCGGAAATATAACCAAATTTCCCTTGACCAAAAGAGGTGAATCCAGTCAGGAAGCTTAAATGGATCTACTCCGTTTAGCAAATTAACACGGATTCAATCCTCTAATCCATTCGCGAGCGTGTCAAAAAAGAAAAAACTTTCTATGTTTGTTTCTACATTTACATTCATTTAGCAGATGTTTATGCAAGGCGACTTACAAATTAGGACTTTCTGCACACAACCATATATGTCAGTGACCTATTGAGAGTGTCTCTATTCTAATCCCTTCTCCCAACGACCTCCCTCCCAAATTTCCCTCGTACTTTGCCTCATCTTAAGTCTGAGATCAGTTAACTAGCGCTTTTATCCAAGCCCAATTAGCCTGCGATAAATTAATTATTAAAAATCCAGTGGGGCTAACATATTTCTTTGAGAATGAGCGCTGATACAAAAGGCCCATCACGCGTACACACACAGACCCTGTGACATTTATGATAACACACAAATCCTTACAGTTACCCACATTCGCTCGTCTGAATTCATTATCGGAAAACCCCCCACAGGTTTGAGCTGGATCTGAATCTCTGAAACGCAATTACCAAAACGCACAGTGATTTAGACAGAAGAGCACGGAAACCTTCTGAACCGTTAGTAACCGTTTGGGATCAAATTACCCAATTCACATCTTAACATAGTCAATTGTAAGAATTACACAGCCCTAACTGACCCCTCAGAACATCAGTCAGAGATGTGTTTGCTCATCCAGAAAGAGCCGGGTACCAAGGACACACAAACACACTTTGTCTTTCTTGTGTGTATACAATGTATCAGGGGGTGTGAATGTCAGAAGGTGAAGGACACTTCCCAGACAAGCTGGCTCACTGAGAAACACCATTACTGTTTACTAAAAAAAAGCCCTCCTGCTTCATGCCTTTTCAGTCTCAAGAAACCATTTTTCATGTACGCCCCCTTAATTAAATATACATTCCGTAATTACATTAAACTGCAGTGTCTATAAACAAACACAATTTTTTCTTTATAGATTTTTTACCCTAAGCAGACAATTTCAAGGCATCTTTGTGCTGGACTTGCATTTTCTTAAGCCTAACTCAAACTGACATTCATGGCTTAGAAGATATTGATTTCTGTATATTTAAGGATGCGCCCCGCTGTTCCTCCCTCGTCTGCTGATCCCTCTTTCCTCCCATCACTTCTCAACTCCTTCTTCATTCCTCTGAAGGCTACACATGTTTCTAATTTCACACAGGGAGGAGAGTGGCAGAGCCATCGTGAGAGGCTGAGATGGAGTAGTAGTAGTGACGGAGAGAGTGATGGGATTGAACGGGTGAATAAAACATTCAACAGATGCAGGACCTCATCTTCAAAGCACTGAGGAGCAGAGGTTCACTGATCCCTATTAAATATACAGCACTGCCAACAATGTAACCTGCGCACAGCTACTTTTAGAGCGAACTGTGCAGACTCCTGTAGCCTGGAGCAAAACCACAGGGTGCAGATGTCTTTAAGTGCGTGTCTGCGCGAGCAGCCAAATTTACACTGCACATATTTTCAATTTAAATATGAATATGGCGACGCTGTGTTTGTGTATGTGGGTTGTAGGAAAGAAACCAGACTTTACATTACAGTGTTCAAGCTACCATGTGGCACAATAATAAGTGATTAAAGGGGTCATATGATGCTTTTTTAAAGATCATTATTTTGTGTATTTGGTGTAACAGAATATGTTGACATGCTTTAATGTTCTCGCTCTCTCTCGCGCTCTCTCTCGCTCTCTCTCTCACTCTCTCTTTCTCTCTTGCGCTCTCTCTCACTCTTTCTCTCTCTCTCTCTCTCTCTCTCTCTCGCTCTTTCTCTCTCTCGCTCGCTCGTGCACACACACACACACACGACGCGTTACTCTGCGCTGCGCAAAACTCCGCATTTGAACAGTCAATAGCAAATACTTAAACTAATAACAAAACAGTAGCTGATTCAGAAGCACCAGATTGTCATAGCAAAGTCAGAATTACCTCCTCTCCTAGGTTCACGAAACGGTCGTCCATAAAATGCATTGCTGTTCTGTTGTAAGTAATCTTAAAGATTCCTAAATGCATCTACTTTCGGAAGGCCAAATAAAGTGCTTTTGCTTTCGCCTAGAAACACACAGCGTCTCTCTGACATGGCTGCTTCAACACTAACTGCGGTTACTGAAACCACGCCTTCTTTCTTTGCGTGAACATTTGGGCGGCATTATGCAAATATTTCCACATAGTGAGGTAGATATGTGGGGGCGTGTTAGAACGAGCCGTTTTAGGGGGGCGTGGCAGAGTCTTAACTTTGATAAAGAATATCTCTTTGGTTTTGAGACTTTAGTCTTTGCAACTTCAGGGGTCTTATCTATGCACAATCAGCTTGTAACACTCCAAAGAGAAAGGAAAACTTGAAATCGCATCATATGACCCCTTTAAAGTGCAAAGAATGCTTCTCTCACTCCCAGGTAAAGGTCAAGCAGAGAACGCGCAGTCACGGTCATGCCTCTCACCCGTGCGCGCTCCCGTTTCAAATGAGGTCCCCACAAACCCCTACTAGATTAACACAATCAACACCAACAAGAACCCTCATTAAGAGCGTTTACCAGCGGCCACTGGGACAGAATAAACCGCCTCCATCCCCCTCCCAGCAGCATCTGTTGAAGCGCAGAGCCCGGTATATGCGCTACATGGACACATTAAAAACCTATTCGTCTTTCAAGAGCTCGTGGCACCACTAATAGCCCCTCATAACCCACATACCGATTTAGACCGGGCACACAAGAGCTCCCACGACGCCGGGTGTCCATTTAAACAAGCTCAGTAATGACAGAAGGACGAAAGAAAGGGGTCTGCTCGGCCATAAATCGTCGTTTATGTGCCGGACACGCCGTTTGCATGGGTTTCATTAGCTCCCCACTAAATGAATTCACAGTTGCTGAGTTGCAGAAACCTCCCCCTTATTTACACATATATACTACGAGAAATCTATCCGTAAATTACCCACTATTCCTTCCTGCGGCAGAGAAAATCGTGTCACCTCCCTGACTGGAGTAATAAATTTTGCAGAGTGAAATGGGACTGATTGACCATCTAAAGTTAACACTTGCGTGTAAAACTTTTCACTTCAGGTGTTTCCACGTTAACCCCAGTGTCGAGTGAAAGCTTACACTTTTTTTGCTTTAACTACTGTCCTGACAGCAGATAAATTGCTAACTAATAATAATCCCTAAGAAGTAGGCCACAGTGCTAACCCGATCTCACGAAAGTGCGTATAAATAGTACGCCAAATAAAAACGAAAACTCGTGGTATTGATACGCAAAAATGGACTTTGGCGTGTATATGCTACGCGATGGGTAGGTTTAGGGTTGTGGGGTAGATGCGTATCATATGTACGCGAAAACTGCGTATCATATGCACGCCAACTGATTTCGTATTATATGCACGCCAAACACGTGCGTATCACATACACGCCAAAGTACATTTTTGTGTATCAATACCTCGAGTTTTCGTTTTTATTTGGTGAAGGGCCTACTATTTATATACATTTTCATGAGACCGGGCTCACAGTGCTGTGCCTTCACGGTTCTAGTTTACATTTCAGTTTCTTCAAAGTTCGAGTTGTATTTTACAGAGTGTCACCTATGAATAAAAGTGCAAATGGTTTTGAATTAATGTAACAAAAATGTTTATATATGGCCGGTGTAAATGTTAAAGTTTACACCTTGGCAGAACAAGCTCTTTTGTTTTAACTGCTGTCATGACAGAAGTTAAGCTGGTGACTAAAACAGCTCTGAGGGCTTCTACACGTTCTCACAAGTTGAAGCAAGAACGTTTTACAAAGGTTACATTGTTTAAATGGCATAACAATACTTGGTGTTGAGCAACTAAAATTCATGCCAATCTAACTGGAGCGTATCTGAAGGAGAGGCAGTGAAACTGTGGCGGCTACTGTCGTAAAATTCCTCAATGCACACCGTCAATGAAATGTGGCATTTATTAGGCTGGCGACATTGATGCTCGTAACTTCTGCACACTCACGATTATCCACTAAGGGGCTTGTCTGCGTAATAGCGCTCAACGGTTTTCTTTCCCCCTGTGAGAGACGTTTCAAAGCCGTCCTCCAAAGATTTGTGCGAAAACACGAGGCGTTTGACCATCTCCAACGCAAAGCTCTCCTTAAATAAATGCCGTGCCCAATGCCTTTAGTTGCGGCTCTTACCTTTTGTTCAAGGAATTCCAGTAGATGGGCTCCATGTTGCTCGCCGTGATCCCGAGTAAATCCACTAAGAATATCAGGAGAATTCCCAATCCATTTTCACAGCCCCGACTCGCCATTTGAAATCCCGAATTCCGTCTATTTACTCCCATCAAAGCTGTGTGGGATAGGCTACGCTCCCAGAGGTTGGAGATCTCTGGACTCGAACAAAGCGTGTGTGCTTCAGGTGAATCCGTCAGTGTGATCAGGAACAACGTGTTTTGGGAGCCTGCATGGATATCTGCTAAAACACACACACACGCACGGGAGGATAGATTAAACAAATGTGCTGTCTATGCGGATTTAAGGAGAGAATTCCACAAAAAACGTCTTTAGGGAAAAGTAGCTCTTGGACAAAACTCCCACTGCCGTTTTGCTGCAATTTTCCCTGCAAGAGTTTACTTTTACAGTATTTCGTGATGCTTATTGTTTTTTCCCGAGGGGTTTAGACTGGACCTATCTTTCCCATTCCCTTTTCACTCCCGCTTCATTCTGTTATTCCGCCGAATTAGGACGAGAATGTGATGGTAGATGATGGTTTGGGAATGAGCTTTTCCTCGCCTCTTCAGAAGAACATGTTGATGCTGGACAGATCTCGCTGCTTCTCTTTCTCTCCTCTAGTTCTCCAATTGGATTCTCCTGCTTGACTCCTAGATGCCAATGATCCCGTATGCACTTGAAATGTTGAGACGGTCAACAAACAATCCAGATAATTAACGGGGGAAAAAAATAGCAAAACGAAACGAATTAATGCAAATTTAAAACAAGCATTTCAAATGGACACAAATCTACAAATGTGCCGAGACTGACAAAATTATTGCCAAATTTTCCCAGGGTGGAAAAAATATTGTAATCCTTATTCATGGGTCTCGGTTGCAGGGTATTTGAGAATGTGCTCGGATGTGGCAAGTCATTAGATAGTTCATTTCTCGCCTGTCCTGCTTGGATTCTCTCGATGTGTCTCTCTCTCTAGCTGCAAATCCGACTAGTGAGACTTGTTCCTAACGCTCGGCGCACACTGACAGACTGAGTTGTTTGAGAATGAGAAAGAGAGAAAGAGAGAGAGAGAGAGAGGCGGAGGGAGGGGGAAAGGGGAGATGTGCGTGCTCGAATAAGAAAAATCCCATCTTCCGGCTGGAGTGCGCACTAACGGAGCGGATTTTTCTTTGGGGGATTTGTCTTTTCCGCATGTAGAGGTGCTATTAAATAACGTCAGTCACGAACACATCCATATACCATGCAAACATATTTCCCAACGCTCATGTAAAGGATTCTCTCCATAAATAAATGATACCAGTCTCAGAGCACGTACATTTTTGTGACTGCTTCTTTTTCCGTTTGATATGATGATCGTGATCCCCGGCACCCGATCACACCGATCAGCGCCGTGCATTCAGGAGCGACGGCTTACGGCGCTACAGCGCCCCCAGTGCATTCGCTGGTAACGGTGCATGTAATAACATTTCATGCTGGTGGTAACGACACTAATGACAAGCTTTGTAAGATATGCAGCAGATAAAGATCTTGTTTAATACATATCTCTACCGTCCAATTGAAACTGCAATGATTTGCAGCGTTCTGCGTATGTGAGAAATCGGTAATTAATTGTGTTTGTATGCTTGTCATCTGAAAACTAAAATTAAGAAGTGTATAATGGACTTAAGTGCTGCTGATGGGAGCCAAGGCGAAAGAGTAAAACCTTGCCTACACTGACACCCAGCGGTGAAGTACTGATACTACAGTCCAATAACGCTTTACAGATAGCACGCTGCAAATCTTGATGCTCTTTTGGACAGCCATATCCATTTTATATAATATTAATATAATTTTATGTAATATTAATATAACAGTTAGAAACGATTAATCCATCCATTTCATTCATCCATCCATTCATGTCACATTTATTTTATATTTTACTGCTGTCCCAATTCATCAAAAGACTTCAAATGGCATTGTATTTAAAGCAGATTAGTTGATAAATAGGCTTTTTAACGACTAGCAAATGTTTAATAAACTGGGTTATTTTGTTTAAAATTTTATTGGACCTTGTAGCAACAGTTAGCAACAGCACTAATCTTTTTTTTTATTATTATTATTTTTTTTTTTTTAGCTGTAATATCTGCCTATTTGTCATTATGGAATCTTGCTGTGAAAGGGCAAATATATATTTTTTCATGCAACAATTTTCTAGTGAAAATGTCTAGTATACTGTTCATTTGGATCACACAATGCATGTTAATGTAATTAAAATAGGACTAACAATAACAATGTGTAAGCTGCTCCAGGAAATTATTACATATTTAATATGTTGTTCATCAGTAGTGTCAATCACTAAACTATAATGTAAAATAAGACTAATAGGGTATTAAATATGCAGAATTGTTTATTAAAATTTGATCTGATAAACCAATTAGTTCAACGTAGTTTTACATGCAGACAGCAAAATGTGCAGTACTCACTTTTATCTTGCAATACTGCAAAAATGTATATACTGTACATATTCTATTTATTATGAAACCGATGACACGTTTCATTACAAAAAATGCTTTGTAAAGATAAATGTATTAATGACAGTATATTTTAGATGCCACAACTTGTCATCTTTTAACATTTATACAAATGTTTCAAATGGCTTTAGACAAAGTACAGCGTGTAGTGCAGGACACTGCTGTGACTGCTATGACACATGTCATGTCAAATACCCAGACAGTGTGGTGAGAGAACACTGCCATCACAAGTTAGGAGGTGATCTCATCAGTCTGTGTCGCAGTGTCCATGAGACCTGGCTCTCTCCCCAGTCTGCGCAGTTTTAAGAGGTAATCAGAGTGGAGGGAGGAATCAGTCAGGTCCACAAACCGCCTGTAGCTGGCCTGCACCTTCTGAAAGACAGAGAGAGAGAGATGGAAGAACACAAACATGCTGATTAAATTTTAGTTAGACAGGTGCAGTTAGTTAGACAGGTGGATCATCATAATGACCAACGATGGAAACGTCCTCAAGCAAAAGGTCAAATGTCAATACTGTTATCTATTAAGACAAGGAGGAACACAGACTCATGGGGAGAAACAAACTAAGCTTAATAAGAACCAAACGTCAGAGGGTGTGCTGGCATGGGAAGAGAGAGAGAGTTCTGTTATTCCGTCATTTTGTTGCAGGGTGTTGCAGATGCTGGATTTGAGCGGGTCCCTTTTTAAAGCTGTTCATTTATTCATGATGACCTCATTACAAGGGCTGACCTTAAACTCTGCTTCATACTGAATGCGCTCCCTGCAGGCCTGCTCCAGACTGTCCTGCAGCTGCTGTATACTGGAACACACATGCACCGTCATGCACGACTTCAAAACATTATTAACAAAAAACAAACAAAAAAGAAAATTGGTGGAGAAGCAGTGTTGATGACGACAACAAAATCTATAAAATCTAGGATTCTAGTAGAAAAGGGAGAAGGTAGAGAGATACAAAGATCAATTTATGAAATTTACAAAAGGTGGGAAGGAAGGAGAAAGAGAATAGCTGAGATGCATCACAACATGAAGCTGGGGTGCACAGGAGAGTTTCATCATGTGTATTTTTACCTGTTTTGTAGCTCAGATATCTTCTCTTCATGTCTGTCCTGTAGGGCCTGTTTCTCTCTTTCTGCCTTAAATGTCACACTCCTCACGAATACTTCTCTCAGCATCCTGCACATACCTCCTCACACACACTCCTGACAGGCAGAGGAAGGGAATAAGCAAGGTGAATGACTCACAACTCTACTTGATTCTGATTGGTCAGATTCTAAACGTTGCAAATTTTGTTTCTTCAACTATTTACATAGTTGATATATGTAACCCTGGACCACAAACCCAGTCTTAAGTCGCTTGGGTATATTTTTAGCAATAGCCAAAAAAAACATTGTATGGGTCAAAATTATCGTATATTAGGATACCTATATATCCTATATACAGTGGGTACGGAAAGTATTCAGACCCCCTTAAATTTTTCACTCTTTGTTATATTGCAGCCATTTGCTAAAATCATATAAGTTAATTTTTTTTCCTCATTAATGTACACACAGCACCCCATATTGACAGAAAAACACAGAATTGTTGACATTTTTGCAGATTTATTAAAAAAGAAAAACTGAAATATCACATGGTCCTAAGTATGATTAGTAATATGCATTGCTAAGAACTTCATTTGGACAACTATTAAAGGCGATTTTCTCAGTATTTTAATTTTTTTTGCACCCTCAGATTCCAGATGTTCAAATAGTTGTGTCTAGGCCAAATATTGTCCAATCCTAACAAACCATACATCAATGGAAAGCTTATTTATTCAGCTTTCATATGTATAAAACTCAATTTAAAAGAAGTGACCCTTATGACTGGTGTTGTGGTCCAGGGCCACATATTAGTTAAAGGGGTCATATGATGCGATTTCAAGTTTTCCTTTCTCTTTGGAGTGTTACAAGCTGCCGCTCCTTCGTCGAATCCGCCGGCCTCTGCTCACTTTAGGCTGCCGTGTGTGACGCTGTGTGTTTCGTTGTGAAAGCGAAACTACTTTGTTTGGCCTTCCAAAAATGGACACGACTAGAAATCAGTGGTTAAGTTGTATTTACAACACTGTTCCAGAACACTTCAACCCAGATATTCAGATGTGTGCAGCACATTTTATGGAGGACTGTTTCCTGATCCTGGTAGAGTAGACTACAATGCCGGCTGTTCTGACTCACGGACTGTAAGTAAGTTTTTTATATTTAAAGAGTTTTTATATTTTTTATATTTAAAGCAAGTTTTTTGGGCAGAGTAGAGTAGGGCTTGTTGTTTGTCATTTCTCCGATCACAAATGCAGACATGGTTTTATGTTTACGCGGCGCGATGCAACGCAACGCGTAAAAAGACAGTATAAGTCATTATAATCCATAATTATGTCCCCACTGGATGCAACGAATGCCTCGTTTATAATGGGTTTTCATGTTTTTGAAGGGTAACTCTTAGCTGCGTTACCGCGTAAGTGGGATAATGTAAGCGGCCAGTCATTATTGCTAATTAAATCAACTGATTGTACATTATCCAGCAATTTTCTTCTATATCTTATATTTATATTATATATTATATATATCATATAACTATACATTGTCTGAAGAAGAAGTGGATGTTAGCCATCCTCAATTTATACCATTATGCCAGTGGTTCTGAGTGGTTGCTAGGGTTTTTAGGCCGATTACATGTTGAATCATGGTTGGGCAGCCGGTGAGAGAGATCACTCTGATTGGCTGTTGAGCTTATGCTGGGTATACACTTCACAATTTTCAAAGTAACCTACTACACATCACACTACACAACTGTTTATCATGAAGTTGCTGTGATTTGCACATTACACATCGGATCAGCAACTGGGGGTCACACATTATACGATAATTGAGACTATGTGATCATCACGCACATGAATGAGCATCAGTTGGCCTCAGATTTCAGGCTTTTGTCTGCAATCTCCAGAAAACTGTTGGCGAGTGAAAATCAGGCCTTAAATCGTGCAGTGATACCCGGCATTAGAGAACCACTTGCTGGTATAGGCAGTTATTTCCTCTCACGAAGGCTATAGTCTTTGCAGTGTGTTCAAGCACAACTATTTGTCACAGACACAGGAGACGTGAATCGACAACACAGTCGGCTTTCTTTGCTGCTAGTGTGTCAGCCTTTATGAAGCTGACCTTAAGGAAGGTCACCCCAATGTAGGTTTATCTGATTTATCTATTGTGGGAAGCAAACATCCCACCTGTGTCTCTTCTCATACAGTGTGTATTATTTTCTCTCTGGTCTCCTCTGCTTCTTTGTGCAGCTGTTCTTGCAGCTTCCTGCAGGCCTCCCCTATGGCCTGGACCTTGTCTTCCTCCATCTGAGCCCTCAGGCCTTTTTGAGCTCTGAACTGGGCCTGCAGCTCGACCTGGAGCTCTCGCCTCATTTCAGCCTCCAGCCTGTCCCTTGCTTGCAGGGCCTCTTGAAACCGGGCCTGCAGACTCTGGGGAAGAAGTGATGGAGAACAGCAAGAAGAAAACAGAGGGAGAGGGATTAAAGTGAATAGGGAGGACAGGGATGAATTGAAAAAGGGAGAGAAGAAGAGATGATGAAGATGTTGGGGTGAAATTGGAAAGTGGGAGATGGAGAGGTAGTGAGAACACAAGGAGACAGCGGGCGTTAGGGAGGGAGAGAAAGAAAAGGATAGATGATCAGTGTTGG